GTCTCTGATTCCAAGGACATGCAATATTGTATAAGAAAAACACAAAACCAGAGCCCAGCAGATCACTACACCTGATGGATACAGGTACAAAAATCTTCAAGAAAGTAATAGGAAGCTGAGTCCTAACAGTGTATGAACAACTGGGGTTAAGTGGCTAGTGATTTAGCTCAGTGGCACAGCATTTGACTGGAAAGTACGAGGTCCTGACTTTGATTCCGGGTACCTGCCCCTCAAAAAATTATTGTTAGAGATTCAGCTGAGTGATAGAGGACCACCTAGCATCCCCCAGTCTTTGGGAACTGTTGCTGTCTCTAAATATTCCTAACACATGCATTTTTGGGTGTACACCTATGTGAATATATATATTTACACATACGTGTGTGTATCATTCTTTACATTCGCACCTGGTAGAAATTATTCGTGGAATGCCAGGATTCAACACATAAAAAACGATCATTTCACTGCACCATGTTAACAGGGACAAAGGAATAAACCACCTGATCATCTCAATTGATGCAGAAAAAGCATTTAACATCACTCCACACACAGTCATGGAAATTAGCATGCACAAGCCCTGAGTTCAATCCCCACAACTGAAGGAAAACAACGGCCCCTCTGCCAGTGGACTTGATTGCACCTTGGCACATGCAGCGTATCAGTGAGTCACCCTCTCCTGACTGCCTGCCTGACTAGGAGCGATAGCTTCTGGCGACCACCCAGCATCCCACAGTGTCCCCTCACATACTACTAGTTTCATAAAAGATCAAAGTTTAAAATTCTCAAGACTGATTCTACTGAGCACTATCACTTTTCTATCATAAAGTGCAAAGTTTATGTCAGATCACTGTAGGAGCTATGTATACAAAGTCCAGTAATCAAAACGGTGGCACTGTGACAGAGTAGGACAGATACAGTAACAGAGATGCTTAGGAAAAACACCCTGAGGGGGCCGGGGAGATGGCTCAGTGGAATAAGCGCTTCCCTGGCAAGTGCAAGGGCCTGAGTTCAATCCCTGGTTCCACAAAAAAAAGAAAAGAAAAACACCCTGGACAATGATGTGCCACATATCAGCCTTTCAGTCAGTGACAGGCCACATATGTGAAGTGCCTTAAAAATATAATGGAACTGAAAAAACTTTAATGCCTGGTCATGGTGACATCATGATCATGGTACACTCAACTATGATACTGAGCACAGTAATGTACTGCAGTGGTTGGGAGTCTAGGAGCGACGGGCTCTACGATCAAGCTTCTGAGTCTAGAAGGCTGCACCACTGAAATCTGCACAAGTTCATGTTCTTTCTCAAGAAGGAATCTGTGTTCTCTAAACATACCTCTGACATTCATCATTTCACTGAAAATGGTCCAGTGATAGTCAGCCAGGCTGCCAACACCCTTCCATCGGTAGAGAACAGCCTTTCAAGAAATGGTGCGGGGAAATCAATGTGCTCCTCAGTACAAGAATAAAGTGCAGCACTTTGCTAGCACGACACAAAAAACATATCATTAAATAGATCGAATGCCTAAATGCATGAGCTCAAACTATGATACTTTTTTACAAGAAAAGAGGGCAAAAAAAAAAAAAAAAAAGAAAAAAGAAAAGAGGGCAAAAGCTTCGCCAAGTTGAGTTTGGCACTAATACTTAGGACAAGGTACCAGTGGTACAGGCAAAGAAGAAAAAAATAGATTAGACTTTTTGAAAAATAAAAAAATATTGTGCATCAAAAGCCCCATCAACAGAAGGAAAAAGAAAGGTACAAAGTGGGGAAAATAATTACTAGTCACTAATATGATAAAATACTAATATCAGAAGATTACAGAATGAGAAATCCATGTAATTCAGTTCAAAAATGAGCAAAGGGACCAAGATGACAATTCGTCATGGAAAATACAGAGTGAGGCCCACAAGCCCGTGAAATGATGCACCACAGCACTCACTATTAGACCAACGAAAATGAAAACTCCATGGAGATGCTACCTCCCACCCATTCTGATGGCTTTTATCAAAGAGCCACAGAACAAGAGGGCAGACACCTGAGGAGGCTGTGCATGGGGGTGCTGGTGTACTCTGGGTGACACTGTCAAATGCTAAAGACACTATGGGAAGCAGTAGAGTGATGTATCACAAAACTGAAGTGAATTCTGATGACTCAGAAATTTCCCACATCCAGTGCAAGTCTCAAACCTCCTGAGGAGAGGGCAGTGAGGGATGAAGAAACGGAGACAAGAATCAGAATGCGGAAAGCTGAGGTCGGCTGCAGCCTCCTTTCCTGATGGAAGAAAAAGAACCATCCAACAAATACAGCCCGTTTGCTTATATACCCAAGATTGGTGTCAGTGGAAACCCCTCTGCCTACAAACTAGTTTGCCTGGCTCCCGCCTGGGGCTCCCGTTCTCTCAGGTGGAACAGCTTGTACACATGGCTCTCCTGGGCACTCTGTGTTCTCAGGGCTGGCCTTGCTTTAGCCCTGCATGTGTGATTGATCAACAGCTTTAGCCACTCCCCACAGAAATTCCTTCTAAACTCACTCTACTGTGCATCATACTGGCAATTTCCAAATACATTGTTATTATTTCTTAGGGTCGTTATGTTCAAGGGTATTTATCTTATTATATTCTTCATAATCTTTGATCCTTATATTTTAATATGTTAAAATGGTTATCAGTTTTTAAAAAAATCACATTTACACACATCAAAAAATTCCCCTTCTCAGGGCAAACCCACAAGAACTGCAGTACAGTCTCAGTGCCCACCCAGGACCACAATAGCATATTTCACTTTGCCTCAGAAATGCAGGCAGAACAAGAGTCTACTGACAAAAGGGTAGATAAAGAACACTTGGACAGCAGGGCCCCCTGTGTGAGACAGCACATCCCACGACCCAGCTAGTTCCTGTCCCTGCCAATAAGCGATCCATAAAACACACTATGGTGGTTCCTGTGCACCTGCACCAGGGATGAAGGGTAGTACATAAATCATTCCAGTGAGAGAAATTGTAGCAATTGACTGTATTTGAATGGAGCCCCTCAAATACTGTACCTGACTGCACTGCACACACTTCCTGCTGAATGCTGTGATCAATGCCCCATAAGGAAATGAAGCAAGGTGAGGGGAAGGCTTGGTGAGGTGGGGCTAGGCTACACTTGACCTTCTGACTTCATCCCAGCACTGGCACAGAGCAACAGCTGGCCAGAGAACCAAGCAAGTGACAGGGCCATAGCCAACACAGCAAAAATATGCCAGACAAAGGGATTTAAGTTCTTAGCAAACCAGATGTAGGAAAGGGTTTTGAAATTAGTGGGCTTCCTCGGTGTGGCTTGCCACTTAAAATTCACAAATTGTGTATTTCTGAAATTTTCACATAAAATTTTCAGACTGTGGTTTTCAACTCTTACATGAAACAAGGAAGGAGAAACAGTAGGTACGGGGGATACTGCAAATTCACACAATGGAAAGTAACTCTGTCTTAAAAGGAAAGAAGAACTGAAACGTGCTACAACATGAAGGAAACCCGAAGTGGTTACCTTAAGGGAAATAAGCCAATCACATTATTTCAAGAGAAACAATCCAATCACCTTGGGGACAGGAGTAGGGTGTGGCCCAAGGTGACATTTCCCATCCCGTGCTCTAAATCCCAGTCAAGAAAAACAAATGCACAAAACTGAGAAATAAACCAGCCAGAAACAACAAATACCGTCTGATTACACTTTGATGACTATCGATAGTGCTCAAATTCACAGAAACAGAAAATGGCAAGGTGGTTGCCAGGGATGGGGAGGAAGGAATGAGAACTATTGTGTAAGCTCAGATTCGGGCTTCAGTTTTGCTTGATGAAGAGAGCTGTGGCCAATGGGGCTTCTTTTTTACGTTATCAATACGTTTGACAACACTGAAAAGAAGCCTTGGAAATGGTAAGATGAGGCTGGAAGTGCAGCTCAGTGGTAGAGCATCTGCGAAGTACATGGAAGGCTTTGGTTTCGTCCTCAGAATGACAAGAAAAGAACAAAGTGTGGTAGAGGAAGATGCTCAAGCTTTGGTGGGTGTCATACCACAATGAAACGAAATGACATGGATACTCATAGGGGGCCTATGGATAGGCCTTAGTTACCATGGCTGGGGAGCCATGCTCTGAAATCTGCATGTGCCCAAGGAAACACTTGACTCCTGGTGGGCAGCAGGGAAACCTTCCCTAAGGCCTCAGACCTTTCTTCCTCGTAAGATGGTCTTGGAGGAGCTGAGGTCAAAACCTCACGCTTTGTGCCAGCAGTGAGGAATAAGAGGGGCTTTGGATTGCATGAGCCAGAGTGGATAGAAATGGAGCCATGGACGTCGGCTTCTCAGTCCACTGCAGCAATGGGACCTCAAGAAAAACCCTGGACACTAAGGTTGGACTGTGTCTGCCCTGGTATGCAGCTCTCACTGTGCAGGTCACCCCTTGTGGCTGGCACCACTGACCATGACTCTCCTCCGACAGCACAGCTGAACACCTGTATCTGTCTTCCTGGATTCCACTTTGTGTGCCTTTCCCTGCTGCAGATTTTTGTGTGTATCATGTAACTGTAATGAACCATAACTTTGACAATAAGGACATTTCCAGATCTACTGTATTTTCTAGCTGTTCACTGAGTCTGTGGTTCTAGGGATGAGCAAAACCATCCAGCACCTCACCAGGAACTATGTTTATTCCCAAGAGAAAGCTACTCATGCTCAGCACCAGCCTGACATCCATGGAGCTCAGACTACTGCCTGGGGTTTGCCACCCGCTCAGCTGCCAGGCGTCAGTGAGCTCCCACCTGCTGAGCATCAGTATACACATTTCTCTTGTGCTGATGGCAGTGATCAGGGTGGGATGGGGAAGACAGGGGATCAAGGGTGGCTTTAGGCTTTAGGCGGGGGGGGGGTGTGTGTGTGTGAAAGCATCACACATAGGGTTTGAGTACGGAGGGTTGGAGGCAGACGCTGAGAGACAGTCACAAGACAGTTTATTGAACGTGAAGTCATCCATGTAGTGGACAAGTAGGGGCCACGGTGGTCCATCTAGCGGGGCACAGCACAGAGCTGGTAGGGGGCTGGAGCTACTAGGAAGGAAACCATACCACGGTCGCTGGGTCGGGGCTGCCCGTGAGGCACAGAGAAGCTGAAGCGCTGCAGCAGGCAGGTGAAGAAGAGGAAGAGCTCCATGCGGGCCAGGGGCTCCCCAAGGCACGTGCGGGGACCTGCAGATGGCACAAGACTCAGCTTGGGGTCTAGGCTCCTCCCCACCAATTTGCCCTGGAAAGGGACAGGGAGCCTGGTCTAATACAATCACCTGCTGAGAAGGGCATGAACCCTTCACGTTTCACAAAGCGGCCCTCGCTGTCCAGGAAATGTCCAGGGTGGAAGTGGAAAGGTTTCTCCCAGACAGTCTCATCCTTCAGCACAGATGACAGGCTGGTGATGAGTATAGTCCCCTGGCAGGAGACACACGGCACGGATGTGCACTGGGATGGAGGATCAGGACCCTGCCACTTACTAACCGTGAGCACACTGGATGAGGCAGTGAGGCCATTGGGTACCGGGTCAGAAGAAGCCTTTAAATTATCTACTTGTCCCAAGAGCTTATTCTTTTTTTTTTTTTTTTTTTTTGGAACTGGGGATTTGAACTCAGGCCCTTGTGCTTGCCAAGGAAGCGCTTATTCCACTGAGCCATCTCCCTGGCCCCCCAAGAGCTTATTCTGATCATATGGCACCCATATACATGGGTGCGTATATGCACACTTTTCTGCACGTGCACAGGATGCTCCAACAACTCCTCACATGGTTTAATACATCTTCCAACTACACTGAGGGTCAGAGGGCAGGCCTGTGCTCAGCACCACATCTAACTAGGCTGGGCCTGGCAGCACCAGGGATACTCCGGCCAGGTAGCAGAATACTTTCTAGCCATACATGCTATTGGCCATGCTAGGAGAGGACTCCAGGCTTACCTTGGGAATGCAGAAGCCCTGTACCTCAGTGTCACGAGATGTCATGTGGGGCACACCCATGGGGACAATGTCTGCAAAGCGCTGCACCTCATGAATCACAGCATTGGTGAAGGGCATGCAGGCCTGGTCTGCCATCTCTGGGCGGCGCCCCTGCCCTATGACTTCATCGATCTCCTCCTGGACACGGCCTGCACAGACAAAATGGCCATGGCAGGTCAGTTTCTGCAGATGGTGCCTTGACACTCTCCACCCCAGACTAAAGGTCCTCTTCCAGTAAGAAGGGCATCACTCTATCAGTGGCCTTGGCCAACCCTCTGTTTAGAACCATGTGTTCCCCAAATTCAGTTTGGAATGCTGTAACCACTTTTCTTCCCTGGACTTCCCAGCCATTCCAAGCCCATCTCACACTGCACATCCGGGTGTAAGATCACGAGCAGCAGGGCCCAGGACATTGTGATTGACGTGGTCACCATCCCTGCTGCAAAAAGTTCAGTTACGACCAGGCGAAGGTTCTCATCATTGAAGCTGTTCTCCAACTTCCCCTTGGCCTAAGACAGGCAGAGAGGGTGGCCTCAGTGTGAAGTTAGAGGAACAGCTCTAAGGTCCCCATCCAGCACCCCTCAGTGAAGGTGCTTGGTCTCTGGGAGATGCTGTGGCTCTACCTGGCCTCACACCTCTTAGAAACTTGGCCCACAGCTCCCAATTCCTTCTGTCACAGCACGTCTCACCTTATGTACTTCATTCAGAAAAGCATCAGTCAGATCTCGGGGTGGCTGGTCTGGGTCCCAGGTTGTGTTGTGCTCAGTCAACAGATCTTTAACTAAGGCAATGATGGACCTCTGCGCGGGCAGGACTTTGGCAGCCACCCATGGGATGCGCGCAAGCAGTGGCACTGAGTTCACTACCTGTGATGGCACAGAGGCAGCCTGGGTGCTTCCTGTGCTCCATGCTCATGTGTACATCTCACGCCCAGCCTCCTGCATGGTGGCCCAAGGCCTAAGAAACTCTCCACATGTTTGACTTGTCCTTTCCCTTGGGCCCGCAGCAAAGCTCTGTCCTGGTGCTGAGCTGCCACATGAACTTCCTACGATGGCAATCTCAGGAATTTGTGTGGTTTCCAACATGGACGCAGGCTCTTCTCCCCTCTGGAGCCCTGAACCTCAGCCACCTCTCCCTTACTATTGCCTGATTTGCTACAACTAGACCCTTCTACCTCAACCCTCTCTTCCTGATGCTTTGTTCCCATTTCACCCCATGCAAATTGCCCTCCCAGAGCCCTTCTGCAGGAATGTGTCTCTGCACAGACTGCCCTGAACCCTGTACCTGAAGCAACAAGCCATTGTCCTCCTTAACACTGTCCACCATCAGTTCTGTCAACCTGATCACAATGGAGTCGTCATACTCAAATCGACGCGCGTAGATGAGGGAGGCGATCACGTTGCACACAGCCTTGTCCAAGAGGTGACTGGGACAAAAGGGGTGCCCTGTGAGTACAGATACTCATCACATTGCGGCCCTTTCTCCCAGTCACTTTTGTACAGGTCCCTTCTAGTGTCCCTCATCCATCACCCACCAGCATGATTGGTAAAAGCATCACAGAGGCAGGAGGCCTCCTCGGTCACCCACTGCTCCAGAGACTTCTTCCCCAGGCCGAAGTTGCGCAGGGTGGACACAGCAAAGCGCCGCTGCTCACGCCAGGCAGGTCCATAGGGAGCCCCAATAATGCCTAAAACGGAGAACACGTGTCTGTACCAGACAGTACGAACCTGTGCCCTTGGTAACCCCTCACTCTAGGCTGCTGATCCCACGCAAACTCTGTCTCCAACCCTGGGCACCAGCTCCTTTCTGGCCTCATACCCGGAAGTCAATATGTCCTTTGTGCCTGGAGCACATCATCACTCCCCGGCAGCCCTGTCCTCCTGAGTCACTGCTCCAAGTTGTGCCCTGATGCCATCTGTGCCTTACTGACCATTACCTTGGGATCTTGATCCAAAGCCCATTAATTCGTTGGTGACCACTCGGGGCCGATCTGAGGTGTCCTCGCCATGGGTCACCAGAGCCTCCCTCACCGTTGCCAGCCCATTGAGCACGACCACTGGAGTCCAGGCAAGCTGCAGGCTGAACACGTCCCCGAACCTACGTCGCAGCTACAGGTGGAGGCCAGGGAGCCTGTGAGGCTGGGCTTCCTCACAGAATGCAGGTCCCTGTCTCACTCCCAACACAGGGAGACCCAGTTCAACAGTGCAAGACTCAGCTGTGCTGCTGTTTCTCATGGGAGTGAGGATGGCACTCACAGCCTCCTTCAGCCCCTCGACTCCATGAGCTCCAGTGTCTGCCTGGTGCCCTCACATCTTCCTAAGTTCAGAACAATCTCTGTAGATCTAGCTGTGACCCCACAGCTGTGACCTGGGCAGAGTGGAGAAACTGTCAGTGAGGCCCCTTAGCCTCCCATTCTTCACATGAGGAAGCTCAGGACAAAGGTCAGAGCAGAGAGACCCAGACCCACAGCAGCCTCAGAGTCTGATGCAGATCACAGAAATGCTCTCAGTATCAATGTCCTGATCCAAGTGCTGCTTAAGACCCTCTTGCCCTGCTCCTTCATCCACAATCCCTTCCCTGATTGACATCAGAAAGGACTTAGGTACTATGCAACCTCAGTTTCATTCAATCAGATCCAGACCCACTGCCACATCCTGCCCAACCTCCCACTGTTTGTTCTCCTAGACCTTTGCTTATGGAAAGTCCAGAGTGGTCTCTGTTCTGGTACAGTCTTTGCCAGATAGGTGCTCTACCTTCTCCCTCTTTGGCTGGCAAGTCCTTGTCTAGGCTGTGGCTATACCGACCACCTAGTGTCTGTTACTTGGTGTCCACCTGACCGTTGCTGCTCTCCACCTCCAGCTCCCCACCTTGCAGAAGGAGTACGCCAGGTTCTGGAAGTCCACCTGCAGCAGGTTGCCCAGCCCGGGCATTGGTACAGGGCCTGGCGGGTAGCGAGCAGCCCAGCGTTGGCGCCGGTGCATCAGGTCCACCAGGAGCAGGAAGACGACCACGGCCATGACCACAGAGAACAGAACATCCCCAGTCAGCAGCCCCATGGCTGCCTTCTTGACCAGTGGGCTCTTTTGATACACAAAGTGCTTCACAGCTCAAGTCAGCTACAAGAAAAGAGGCACACTCCAGCACACTGCATATTTAAACAGGCAAGCTGTCCTCTCATAAAGCCAATGCTGTCCTTTGTCCTGCATGTTGAAGGTGAAACCAGAGGGTTCAGGGAAGGGCCAGGGCAGAGCAGTTGCACGCCCTTGCTTTCTTGTTCTTCCTGTTGATACACGGGACATGGGAACGTCCTGAGAGGAGAGCTCCATGGAACTAGACACACTGGTTATGTGGGTTTCAGCCCTGGGCCATGATGGGGAGAAGACAAGTGGACCCCTGCTCTAAGAGGCACAAGCAAAAGCTGGTGGTCAGGGGGCGGACAGGCCAAACTGGGAGAACTCTGGTGATGCAAATGGTACGTCAGACTGGAATAGTGGGATGGTAGCTCACACTGCATTGGACAGTCATCCAGGCTCTATCCAGAATTCTGTTCTTTCCTTTGACCTTGCTCTTTCAGGGAGGCTGGGTGTGCAGCCTGCTCTGCATGATACAGCAGCACTGCTCAAGTCACACAGAAGCTCTAGCCACTTCCTTTATAGACCAACAACTGTTCTATTACTGCCACTCTGATTCACAGGTGAGAATCAGCCCAGTAGTACAAAGCTCAATGGCCCACAATGCAAGGAAATCACCTTCCCCAGAGGGCAGAGCTCTGTTCTTGACCATGTTCACATTTATCATGAAGCCCTACAAGGTAGGAGTTTCCTCCAGTCCCACCAAGGGACCCTTGCTCTCCGCTCTACCTATTCCCACTGCCCTACTTTTTCTCCTTGAAGGAAAAACTTGTGCAGAGGAACCAGATCTGGACTGACAAGGAATTAAAATGCACTGAACACATTATGTGTCAACCACACTTAATTTTTATAGAACTCTCATAACATCTCCTTGTGGTAACAATGCAGTGCCGGAACCCCCACGGACAGACCAAGTCAGGGCTCACACAACCTACAGATGAGGAGCCCAATAGGGTGACAAGAAGTATTTCTGGAAAAATAACCCAATATTTCTGAAACACCAAAATGCCTTAAGGAAGTGCTGGCCTGATAGCTCAGGAGACTAAAGCACCTGCTTAGGCAGAGTGAAGCGGGCCGGGGTTTGATTTCCAGCATGCCATGCCAGCCCTGTCTGTGGGGCGCACTGGGGCAGGGATTGAGACTGGGTGTGATGGCGTAAGCCTGTAATCCCAGCACTTGGGAGGCTGAAAATAGGAGAATCACTATGAGTCTGATCTACGTAGTGGTACTACCGTGTATGTCCTGTCTTAAATACAGAAAAAAAAAAGTGCTTTAGGGAGAAGAATCAGAATGCTGTTGTACCTCTTTAATGTCTGCTGCCCAGCTCTCCGCTGTTATGCTTTCTCCAAAGACTGGGAGGGGTGACCTCTGCACTAAAGCCGGAATAAGTGTTTATATGGCTTGGGCGTTGCTCTTCCCCCATCAGGGCTGGGGTGAGACTCTTGAAACAACTTCCTCTTCAGCTGGCTTCAGGGGACGGTCAGTGCTGGGAGCAGGGTCTATCAATTCCAAGTCCTGGCAGTAGTGGCCTAGACCCAACAATTCACCGCAGCTCTGGGTAATGACTTCTGGAATGGGAAAGACCAGCTCAGGGGCCCCTAGGCCTGTTTCTGCCTGTTTCTCCCTGCGTGGACTGCGCCCCTGGAGAGGAAGCTCTACCCCAGCCCCCTGGCTCCCCCTCCTTCAGGTCTGCAGTGCTGTGCTGTTCTGCACTGCAGCCTCCACATCCTCTTTTATACTTCAGATCTAGAATGGTCCCCAAAAGCCTCACTTGTTCAGGGGTTGGATTTTTTGAAAGATCATGGGAGTGCTACACTCACCAGGGGAACAGTCCACAGAAGAATCCACAGTGAAATTATTGTCACAGGTGAGGTCTGTGTGGACGGAGATTGTGACTTAGCAGAACATAAGTCACTCCCTGGCTCCTCTCTGTCTCTGCTTTCACCCTGCCATGAAGCAAGCAGCTTTTCTCTGCCAACACTTCCACCTGCCTTTTGTGCACAGTAGACAGCAGACTGTGCACAAAATCCTCTAAACGCTCTAAGTAAAAGAAACATGCCGTGCTTTAATTTGTGGTTGTATAGTATTATGTCCAGGGAGGAGAAAGAAACTAAGACATCTATCTACAAGAGGAGAGAACACTGACAGGGTAGGAGCGGGGAAAAAAAGCCTCCACCTGGAGACAGGCACGTTGCCCTTTCGGGCCATCTATTTCTAAGTTCCTTCATGAGAACACAAGGTCCCCTGCCACAGCCACTGCACTGATTCTGCCCTCTGGGTCCTTCTGAGAACCCCACGGGACCCCTGCAGAGCTTCTCCTGCATGCTGCCTCCTCACAGGAATTCCTTCCACATTAGAACTGAGACAGCAGCATAAAATGTCATGACTTTCTTTTTATTTTGATATGTCTGGACACAGGGCCTCACTGTACAGGTCAGGCTGGCCTTGGAGTCACAACAATCTTCCTGTTCTTGTCTCTTGAATACTGGGATTATACATACGTGCCACCATGTCAAGCTTTGAAAATATCTGTTTGCATATGTGTATCCTCCTCTAGAAGGAAAAATATAATCCTACATGAAAGTGTCTTTGACAATGGAGATGCATTTTTCAGGATCACTTTCTTTTCTGTTTCAGATGAATAGATAGGGTGAGGGGTTTGTGGTTTGTAGCTGTGGAAGAAAATACCTGGACCAAGGGACTCCGAACCATGATCTCTATGCATAAGCCTGACAGCAGTGCTATGCAGCCCTGTGCCCCTAATGTCCAGGACTTACACACCAAACTGGCAGATTAATAAGTGGGCACATTTATACAGACCTTACGCAGACAGCATGCAGCACAAGAAGTGACTTCAGTTCATGCTATGATCTGCTGAGGCAACTGGACTTTGGGATCACTCGTTTTGGTCCCTCTAAACATAATTTTGTTCCGTGAAGCATCAAGCATTCCATGCCTGCGCTCTTAAGGTGAGCCTATACGCATGGACAGTTTTGGAAAATGCAACAGTACATGCAAAGCTATTTCCACATCTCTGAGGCCCATCCTAGGGAAATCTGCCAAAACCCTTTGTGTCTGATAGCTGGGAGGCAGTTTCTTTTTTCTTTTCTTTTTTTTTTTTTTTTTTTTTTTTTTTTTTTTTTTTTTTTTTTTTTTTTGTGGAACTGGGGATTGAACTCAAATCCTTGTGCTTTACAGGTAAGTGCTTATTCCACTGAGCCATCTCCTGGGCCCCAGACAGAGTTTCAAATACCCAGTATTTCTGTCACTTACAATTCAGTAAGGAACAATTCTGAGACTAGTTGATGGGGCACATGCTTGAGGATTTTAGCTTTGTCTTGTATAAACATAGATGAACAGACAGATAAAGAGAAACATGAATTAAAGTACAACTGCTGCAGGCAGCCAAGTTAGATAAAAGTATTATAGGCAATCAGATAGGGCTAGGCCCCAGAAAGAGATAACACAAAAGACAAGATACCTTATAACTGTGGGAGGGACCGATGCTCCAGCTGTAAGCCAGACCTAAAGATCAAAGATCAAACAAATGCTGACCTCCCTAAAGATTAGCATCGATTGATCATCACCCTGAGGGAGCCAGGAAGAGTCATTAAGCCAACTACTATGGGATGTCTACCAGATAAGGTCCTGTTCTTCATTCATACCTTCTTGCTACGTGACTCCCTTCCCCATTTGGTCCTGGACTTAATTTTATCTGAGCAAAGGTGCTTGTAATCCCATTGGTTGACCATAGTTTTGTCCCACCCCACAACCACCTAAGCGAGTTCCTATTTTCTCCACCTAAGTGCCACATGGTTTTGCCCTATAAAAATAACCTAGAAGAGACAGCTTCCTGGGCAACCTGCTCATGCCCCCCTTCTGTCCCTCTCAGACAAAAGCTTTCCTCCCCCCAATAAATATATTCTGCTCTTAACTTCCGTTTGTTCCTAAAATTCATTCTTCGGTTTTAGAAAACACGAACTCGTCCAGGGGTCCGCAGATGTTCAAAGCAAAGTAACTGGTCGGTTCGCTGCAAAATTTCTGAACGTTCGCAATTTGTTTCCTAATCAAGTAAAGAGGGGCATTTCTTCTGAGGCTGCCAGTGGAGAAATCACCATTTCTGGTGGAGGTCAGCTCTCTCTGCCCAAGTCCTAGGTGGGTCCTGAGGCAAGAGGCACCGTGCCAAAGGAGCCAGTTGCCAGGCACCGCCTGCCCACATCGGGCCCCAGAAAGCACACAAAACCGGTACCAGAGCTGCCCATACATGTGGCCCTGGCCTCCATCCTCCCTCCACTAGGAGAGAAAATCTCACCTCCCGCCGAGTGGGGCAATTCTCTTTGGCATTATCAAATGCGGCTTACCACGCCCCTTCCTGTAACTTCCAAATCAGAGCCTCTGGGATGCCCACCAGGAACTGGCCCTTGCAACATCGCCCAGACAGTATTGGTGATCCTAAGGCCGAGGATCACCGGGCAACAAAGCGACGGCTACACCTGCTGAGGGGTCCTGGCATCCCACTTCTCCCGGCTCCTGGGAGGCGGGAAGCCCGGTCCCCGAGCTGCAATAGCGGAACCACCGGGGTCCCCGCGGGGCTGGGCGGCCGGCCGAGCTCCTTCCTTACGGATCAGCGCGCGGCCCTCCCTGCACAGCCTCCCAGACAGAAAGCGCGTTGGGACCGGGATCCCCACTGCTGCCCGGCCCCAAGCGCGGGACGCCTCAAGGCCCTGAGCAGGCTGAAGCCTCTCCCGGGGTAACACTACCTGCCACGCAGTCCAGGTCGCCCTTTACATAGAGGAGACGGGTGACGGGGCGGTGACCAGAGACCGAAGCTGTGGGGCTCTGCTACAATTACACTGAAAGTGAAGCCTCCAAAGGGGATGTTTATCTCATCTTGTTCCCAGAGGCCTCTGGGACTCGGAGTCCGGTAGCATGCGCAGAGCCCTGTGGGAATTGTAGTCCAGTAGCGCCGTGCCTAGTCTGGGGCTTAC